TATAAAATTTCCGCAAAACTCTTATGCACAGACATGAAAAGAGTCACCTCAGGTTTAAACGTGGGTAAAACGTTTACCCCAGGTCACCAGCGTGAATCCGAGACAGCAAAAGAATGGAGAGCTGTGCAGCTACAACTCTACCCCCTCAAAATGACCTGCTAAACATTTTTTGACAGCAAAATCCTCTCATCTGTTGTAGGCCCCGATACAATGGACGGACATACTGCGTGGCAAAATAGGAGGAAGCTACATTCAACGCTTTCATTCCATAAAATGGAGAGAATCACAGAGCCAACAATGAACAATCAGATCAATGATTACATCTCTGTCTGACTAAATTATCTGATTTTAATACATCTTCTAGGAAGCATAGGAGCGGAAGCCATCACTACCTTCCATCTGCTATGAGACTCGTTCTAATCCTTCATTTGCACAAAACCCCATGGGATAAGAGTGTTCATTCCTCATCAAATGAATGCATGCGTGCTAGAGAGTAGTCTGCCTAGTCAAGATTTTCTAAAGTATTTAGTCTATATATTATTGTGCTCTAGACCTCTCGGCTGGAACAGTGGGCTATTCCATTAGAATTTAAGGCTCATCGGTTTAGTAATTGGGAAAAATACCCTGTTTCCTCTTCCGTGATGAAAATCAATTTGTTCTAAAGTTGTTCTACTAGTCTACTACACCAACATCTGTGGGCTGTGCAAGTCTCTTTTTCAACATAATTTCTCAGGCTGACATTCTGTCAGGCATTGCCATTGCAAACGTTAATAATTTAAAGGGATCCTGTGACAATACTCAAGTTCAATAGTTCAGTCTAGTCAAGAAAAGTACAAGAATCGGCGACAGGCCTATCCAGGTCTATTCTTCAATGCCGAAGATACTATACTATATTATTTACTAATAGGTACTAGTTTATTTTCTAAAGTCTATAGAAAACAAGGAATAGTAGAGTCGGTTTGGGGCTTCGAGATCAGTTATCTCCTTATGAGTATTCAAGAGAGTGTCACGAATTTCAGCCGTTTTTCTACCTCTGGGACCGTCGAGGTTTATCCCAGCATTAAGAGCAGAATGACTTGGGATCTAGAAGCAATTGCGGCATTACAAGCATAACGTCAGAGGAGTCCTTTGGAGACAAGAACAAAGTGAGTAAGGATCCGCTTCCTCACATCAAATTTTGTTTGAGGGAGAATTTGTGAGGGCGTTTAAAAAAATAATGTTCCCTTCTCACAGTAATTGTCTACAGAGTTTCTAGGTCTTGGTGCTGTTAAGCTCTGAGAGAGCATATTTGTAGAGCCATGGATCTAAAATACTGAATGATACTAATTTTGAGGAATATCTTGACTCATAGAAACTTAGAGCACCGAATCATAGATTATATATAGATTATCCAGCCAGTGTCGATAAGTGCTTATGTTAATAAGCAGCAGCAGCGTATTGATAAGTGATAAGTGCGTATTTGATGTACAGAATGAAAACGAAGTTGATACTCCAATTTTAATCCCCCTTTTTTACAGACTAACCTCAGAGCATTGATGTAAGAGCATGGAGAAAGATTCCACAGAAATATAACAATATAGAGAACAACTATATAAAAGAAAATGTAATCGCAGCAGATAGGAACTTTTTCTCAGTGCTCATGAATGACACCCTATAGGCCAATTACACATTCAATACTTCTTCATAGAAACACGCCTTTGACTATCTGTGGTACCATGAATTGTGTAATTTTGTGATTAGCGTTTATGTTTTCTGTTTTTAATTAAAAGAGAATATTTGAATCATTGAACGAGAGGTGATTATCATTTTAGAAATTGGAATTATCATTTATAAACTAAAATTCAGTACACCAAAATCAAACAATCATCCCCATCCTATATAGCGTCAGACGCAATATATGTATTCGTGCTAACCAGCGTAGCGACGGTGCGATGGATGGCTGTAGCCTATGAATCACGATGAATACGTTTAACTAATATTCGCTCCTGCAATGTCCATCCACGTGAGTGGTGTTCAGGGCTATAAAAAATCAAATATTTTTCTTATGGGTTTTACAGACGAAGCGGAAAGCCTGACGACGCGTGTCGGGAACTTCAGCCGGAACTCACAGAAAACTTTGAGTGCGTAAAAAATTATACGAAATAGAACTTTGCCATCCCTAAACTGTGAGTTAGTTTAGGATAAGAACAAATCTCTGATAAAATAGGTGCTGGTTTAACTTTTCTGTACAATTGAATCATAATTTAAGTGCGAAGAAAAGGAGATTTAAATATTCATATCCTTGTCATAAGTTGAGAAGTGATGGCGAAAAATATTCACTAACGACGAGGAAAAATTACGAAACAAAGCAATTAATATTAAAAATACTATATTTTTCAGGTCAAAATTTTCTATAGAGAAAATGCAATCACCAGTCGGATAAGTGTTTCACTCTCAATGTTCAAAATGCGTTTTTTTTGTTCACGAAAATGAATTCTATCCTGACGTACCACAAACATCCTGCTGACTATGAAGTAATCATAAGTCAAATTCGACATAATACTAATGGTATCAGTTATTCCAAAAATCTGGTGGAATGAAGCAGCAAAGATCACAATTGGACGCAGGAACAAGTTAAAGGTGAACTCCACCTTTCAAGTTGAAATTATCTCAGCAATTTCATTACATGTATTACCTGTTTATTCTAAATTTCCTAAAATAAATTGGTATGTAAATTTTCAGGAAAACATTTGGCTCTTCATTTTGATGAGCGAAGCACAGATGTATTCAGTTAAATGTTTTCATTTTTATTAAGGATGATAACTATTAGCATGATTCCTAATTCAAATTACTGAAAGTATAAAGCCTGAATTTCATTCAATAATGAGCGCTTATAAGCTTTATGCGCAATTATACGCATGCATGGAATGAATTATTCAGCTCTAAACACACAATGAATGTAAACTTGTAAAGGACACAACAACTCTGATGTGCAGTAGCTTGCTATAGTTAAACGTTGAATTTACACACGACGGCGCATTTGCTTATGTTTAGCTGGCACTAATGTAATTAGATCAGTTATAATACAACAACCACTCCTCAGGCGCAAGAGGCAATATTCACTTCACAGTAGTATACAGGGAAAATATGCAAGGAATCATCGACAATTTCCTCACTCTTTACATAATGACAACTGATGCTAATTGTTGTTGCCTAAACTGGCTCTCCCTACCTCAGGATAAAATGGAGGAAATCTGCCACCTAACTCTCTTGTATGCTGCCAAAGCTGTATCACAAGAGCACGTGAAAGCTCTCGGCTATCACGTCTCTCGCTAAACAAGACAGGAAGAAAAAAATTGGGCAATAAATGCAGCAGCAAAAACATGGCTGGCTGCTGCCTAGCAAAAGCTTGACAGCGTCCGTAATGCTTGATGAAAATTCACGATACCTTGTACACGAATTTTAACGCCTTTCTTCATGAATTCCGCACAGAAGGATACACACTCGGCAATTGCGGTGAGCTTCTAATCTGAGCATGAGCTTTGAGATTTCGGAGTTGGAATTCATTGCGTGTTGTTTTTAAAGTGAGAGCAATACGGTGACGCCGATTCGTTCTCGGGCTCCTCCGTTCTTTGTCTCCGGTATGGAATAACTTGAAAAAACGGGTAACTTGAATAACGGGCTTTAGGTGTCCTTAAAATTACATCGCTGTAATTAAATTCATGCGGCCCTGCACACCTAATGAACTAAGTTAAAGGAGATAACTCGCAAGCCGATAATAGAGAGGCGTGTTCAGCTTCAGAATATAACTGTAGGGGTATGTACATGAATGTTCAGGTCATTCACATGATGCACATGAACCAGCGTGAAAGACGAGACATGAAAGTTGGATGAAATCATGTCATTATTTCTAATTAAAATTAATGTTTACTTTGCCGTTAGTGCAATTAAAGCATTCTGGAAATTTGCCGGTGCTATTTATATGAATGAAAGCAGCTTTAATTTGTTAAAGAGAACAGGAGCGTTTCATCTGATGCACAATAATGAACTGCGCAATCCTGAGCAGCTCTAATGGTTTGCTGGTTAAGTTATGAGTCGCCTCATAATTGCAATTTAAATGAACTGAATGCGACCTTCTATGCGGTAACTTCATGCTAACAGAACAATGACTAAATTGATTATGAAAGGCGTTAGTGCTACGAAATCAATCAATTGTGTATAAAAGCGAGCATTGAGTGATAAAATATCGGGACGGCGGTCAACCTGCCTGCGTCGTGTCGTCTGTGTTGTTGATTAATCAGAAGTTGCTGGTGCGATAACATTGCCGCTCTCATTGCTGTGTCGCTTAAATGGGGAGATAGAATGTAACTGTCCTACGAGAGACATTCACTTTGTCATATAATTAGTTCACTTCGAAATATTATATTAGCTTTGTCCCTTCTCAATTCCTGTTCTCATATGGATGTTATTCCCTCTGATGTTAGACCCGTTTGGATAATTAGCTAGCGGGCTAACGATATCAGCATTTATTATATATTTCTGGTATTTGATTGCGGAAAATTATTATTATTTACTCGTAATTTCAGCTCATGATATATTTTTTGAGTGTTTCACAAGATGAGCGGACTTGAAATAGTCATGTCCCAGTTCGGTAAGCCCGCTAATGGTCTCAGCAGTGTGTTAGCGCTAAACCATTCTGAATTATTAAATTACCGATAAAATAGTAGCCTTAAATAATCGTAATAACATCGTCATCTATGAGGCACGGCGACAGAATATATCTGACTATTCTACACGAAATAGTAATCATCCGATATTACTGTAACCTATGTTTGTGGCATTATGCTGACTTCAATTAAAAAGTTACAGCATAAAAATTCCTGCACACAAAAACGGTGGCCAGCTACAAAAAGCCTAACATCCATTTTGCGAAACTATAAATAATTTCATGCATATCACACAGAGTCTAAAGGATCATACGTGTCCCATTTTTGTCGAGTACATAAGCATATTTCACCCACCGTTATTCTTGTACTCCATTAGGCGCTTGTTGAAGTTAGCCGTGTGCTTCGACCCCCTGGGGAAGGCGACGCCGTATCCCGTCATGTGGTACCAAGACCCCACGGTGAGCAGCATGCACTCCTCGTCCTGCCCCACCAGGTAGTCCAGCACCGTCGCGTCGTAGATGAACGCGTCCAGGGTCCTGATGACAATCTAATCATCAGTAACTCTTAATTAAGGGTTAAGTGTTAATCATCAGTAACACTTAATTAAGGGTTAAGCGTTGATCATCAGTAACTCTTAATTAAGGGTTAAGTGTTGATCATTAGTAACACTTAGTTAAGGGTTAAGCGTTGATCATCAGTAACCCTCAATTAAGGGTTAAACGTTGATCATCAGTAACCCTTAATTAAGGGTTAAGCGTTGATCATCAGTAAGCCTTAATTAAGGGTTAAGCGTTAATCATCAGTAACCCTTAATTAAGGTCTTAGCGTTGATCATCAGTAACCCTTAATTAAGGGTTAAGCGTTGATCATCAGTAAGCCTTAATTAAGGGTTAAGCGTTAATCATCAGTAACCCTTAATTGAGACTTAAGCGTTGATCATCAGTATCCCTTAATTGAGACTTAAGCGTTGATCTTCAGTAACCCTTAATAAGGGTTAAGCGTTGATCATCAGTAACCCTTAATTGAGGCTTAAACGTTAATAATCTGTTACCCTTTATATTAAGGGTTAAGCACTAAACATCAGTAACCCTTTACGCTTTCCTCTACAACAGACGTGTGGCAGAGGAAAGCGTGAAGGCTCCTTGCAGCAAAAGGCAATAGTGAATTATACTCGTTATCTAAGACCGTCTCATTCCCGTTCATTCTTTTCGTCTCATTTGTTTATGAAGCACATCATGGAAAATGTGTGTGTGTGTGTGTGTGTGTGAGTGTGTGACCTTTCCTTGCATCTAGGCAATCGAAAATTAGAGCAATGTAACAAATAACATCCCATTGGAAATGAATGGGTCGTGATTTTTCATCTCAACAATCAAAAATACTCAAAATGTTTTGAATATCGTCGCAATCGAGTTTTCATAAAGGAAGACAGTCACAAGTCATTTTTAGTTTTATAACATCGCGCACCGTATATCTAATCGTCCAGCATCCTAGAAGACAGTCGTAAGTTAGCGAAAGTTATCCAATACCGTCGCAAGGAAAATTTAGGGGTCAGTGACCTATCGGCAAGTCGAGACAATCGAAGTTACTGGAAGTTGCTTGGCACTGCGACGTTACAAACGACTCGACCAAACACAAGTTGACGGAAGACTGTACTTGCTCTTCGCAATACATCTTAAGGTTCGGTTGAAAAGCATGAGTAAGTAGTGAATGATGAGAAGTTTAGAAGCATTTACTAATTTTAAGAATAGTTTCCTAAACTTGCTATTTATATGATAAAAATTAAGGGTATTGGAATTGTGTAATTCATCGGCTCCTAATACAAATATGTGAACGGATAGTAAGGGAGCTGTGTCCTTAAATTATTTCGAGAAATACCGAACTGTATTATTGTGATTTATCAATGCAAATTTCATGCATGAATAATGCTTTAACAATGGTCTGAATTGTCTTGATGAGATGCCTTGACCTAACATTAACATGGGAAAACTCGAATTAGTTTAAGTTACTAAAGAAAAATGTTATATCTCGCATGTTGTGGGCGTTTCAGAGATCTAATGTTGTAACCTAATATTATAATATAATTTGTTATAATAATCATTATTAAATATTCATAAAAAATTTTTCGGCAAATTTGAGTTATATTTGAGTCTGTAAGAGTTGACGCACATATAGCGCTGAACAACAAACAGTTCAGCCTGAACCTTAGCCGTCATTTTAAGGCAGCTAATCTACCGGGAAAATGTTCTTGCCAGTATTGAATTTCTCGTTCCCTAGAGCAGCAATCTTGCGCGAGAAAGACGAGCTTGCCTGCTTTAATTACCTTCAAATATGAGGGCGCTAATTCTCCAGGCGCTGGGCTTCATTGGAAAAGTGCTCTTAAATTGCGTTTCGTCTCAACTTCAAGTCTCGGGCTCATTTTAGCTATGCCCACTGGCCGCCTCTGCAGCCTTAATTCGTCATGTCTTACGGAGTGTTAAATCTGATTAGCAGCTCATAAGCAGTTAGTGAGAACTAGCGTGGCTAAAAATAGAATTGCTTAAATGTTTAGTTGCTCCTGAAGACTTCAAACGAAGGACATAGGATTTGGATACGTCCATGAAATAAGCAGTGAAAATGAAATAATGCACACCAAAATAGAGACGCAGTGAAAGTGTCGCACATTTCCATTATATTTGAGCGAAGTCATTATATTTGATAGAATGAATTATATATCTTGTTTCTGAAGGAATCACAATAATAGGAACATTTATTTTGAAAAATTGTTTGATCGCATAGTAGACATGAACAATTTTTTTCCGGAAAACGTCTTTTCAAGGAAGCTCATCGGTGAAAAAAATTTTTTCATATACATTCATTCCAGACAAAAAATGCAAATACAGGCATTGTTTCAAGGCTATCTTTGGCTAATTCACAGTAAAGAAATTTTTTGTTTACCTGTGTCTACACTGATTAAAAAACAGGTTCAGTGTGAAACCACTATAGGGTTCCTTTTAATTTCAATCTTTTAAAATTTCGAAGATCATGTTTCTTGAGTTTCATTGACTTAGTCACAAATAACAAATGAAGAGAGAACTTTGAAAAAATAGTTTCTACGAATTATTATCTGGCGTGAAATCGGTTATGTTTGAATCCTACAGATTCAAGCATAAAATAATTAACAAAGCTTTCATATATTGTAGAAATCAGTGCACCTTGTATGTAATTATCTTTTCGGTGTTGATTCTGAAATCATGAATTTAGTTGAAGAAATTTAGCGTTACATAATTTGCACAGGTCTCAGCTACCATGAAACTTTACCTTTCACTATAAGGGCGGAGGCGTTCTCAGAGTGCAATATTTTTTCTCATCACAATAATGCTTCTCTAGGATATTTTTTGCCTAATTATGATAGCTAGATTTCGTTGAACGCCATTTTTTAGATTCAGAAATTTAAAAAAATGAATTGTGCACTCACCACCGGTTAATTTAATTAAGCTGTACTCAAGACGAGTATAGAAACCCCTTAACTTTCTTGGGATTTTCATATTCAGGTCATCAGGATCCCAATTATTCCAGGAAAAATTTTACCTATTTGACCTTAATTTGCCTTCTTTGGAGTCTTCAATTCAATGCACCTTATGAACCAGATGTCCGGAGGTACTAATGTACCATTTAGTTTTGTGTGGTGCATTGCGAATATTTTTCATTAAAATTTTTAATTTTTTCTAGAATATTTCCCGCCATCATATGCTTCTTCGGACGTTCGAGGTTCGGCTCTCTAATAATTTTCACAACATACACGCAACATACAACATAGAAGTGTGAAGGGATTTGGATTGTTTTCATCTTAACATCTATTACATCTATCATCTTTTATCTATTTTTTGAACATACTGTAAAAACAACAATAAATTTTGAATTCATGAGAGAGTTAATTCAATTCATAAACTGTAGAGTGAGTCTCCGAATTTCAATCTACTTATTGTTTAGCTCAATATTTCAGCGTGTAATGCAAATTTCAGCATATAAATACATAAAATTATTAGGGCATATTTTGTTGATAAGTTCGAATCGTTGGACGAGGCGAGAGGGGGAATGACCGCATTTTCGACGTGCGCGTTCAAACTGAAAGAGAAGATTGGAGACAAAAAACGTAACTGATTTTCATTTTTCATGTCCGTCGCAATCGAACCCAAAAACTCCGTTTCACGGTCATTTTTTGCTGCCTCTAATTGCACTGGCAACCCCACGTTCGGTCGTTCTTTGTTTGTGCTCGTGAGGAGACTGTCGTGTCATGGAATAGTCGCATGGGTTAACAATTTTGTTTCAAATTCAATACATGTACATTATAGAAATTATCTTGGTGAAACAAATTTGATGATTTCATTAAATTTTTGCATCTCTTAAAATATTTCTGGAAGCTTGGTTCACTATACACTAATTCACTAGCCGTTATTTTACACTCTACGTCGAATTTGGACCACGCGAAATAAAGGCAAACAACTTCCTATGCTCGAGATGCACCGGTCAATTTCACTTGAGTACCCTAAATTTCTGAGAAATTACATTTCATTTACAATCGACGGGACGACTTGCTCAGGCAGATAGGGGACCCTAGATCAAGCCGAGAATAAATATATTGTTCGCACTTATCCATTGTCACTAATAATTTAGTGAAATCAAATTATATGTTAACAGTTTTCGTAGCCTACTGTCAGCTGATTAAAAAAAACTTGAATAGGTCATTGTGAAACGTATTGGGAGAATTGAAATAGTGTGAAATGTAATAAATAATTATAATTGTTTATACATATATATATATACTTTTCATATATATTTCACAAAAGGATGGGAATATTTCAAAAACTAGATATGCTGGAGAAAAAAAGCCAGCTTTAAAGAACAAGCAGCAAAAGTGTTTTCCAAGCCACATAAAATGATCTCAGAACCATATTTTTTGACCGGTGTAATCGAGCTACTCGTATATCCAGACAATCTTTCTAATGTTTAGACCAAGTCGATTCTCGAATTTTTTATGATAATGACGTTGTACTTGCAAACTCGTCATCGAAAATAAAACAATTCAAAGAGTTGGCATGATATCATAATTATGAACATGGTTTGGTCGCTCACCCTTTCTTGGTGGCGAGGATGCCGAGGCTGGGGTGACTCTGGTTGTACTGGCTCATGTACGAGTACATCTCAGGCAGGTGCTTCGCGAACACCGAGTCAGAATTTGTGAACGGGACCGTCCCGAACTTGAAGGGCGGCTTGCTCATGTAGGGGTTGGCAAGCTGAAAAAAAATTGATTACTAGGTTAGGAGAAATGTCATAAGAATATGGTAAACAACTGGTGCAAAATGACTAGTTTCGATGAATGTGAAGGAGATATGTATGATATGAGAGACGATTCTCTCCCCATTTCGCAATGGAAAAATTGCAGTACATGTTACGATGCTTCCACCTCTTTCTTAATAAGTGATGCATAGTGTTTACAGAATCACAAAAGAGCGACGCGGTAAATTAATTCACACCCAGATAACAATTCTTTTGTCACAAGAGGTGCGAAATACTGCCACAGGAGCAAACAAACACTCCTCGGGGAAGGTGATGCAATCGCCACTATTGCTTCACAGGTATCGCCAAGCTGCAAGGAGGCTTGTGACGTGATAGCCTAGAATGTGATGCCCAGACAAAAAAAAATAATAAATTTTCTCTCCGGGATCGTTTGATGAGTTTTTATACTGCGTTTCAATCGCTGTGATTTAAATTGATAAGTGACGTGGGTCATTCTCACTGACCAGTAGATGTTTGTTGCTGGTTGCTTCAGGTATATTTTTATTGCACGCTGAAGGGGAAATATATGAGAATGAAGTGTTAATTACATGAATAGAATGAAATTAATTGTTGATGAAAGAGTGATGGTTACTGTAGGCCATTCATTTTAATGTTACAACAGTTCTACGTTTTCACGACTCTACTCGTTTTAATACAAGTACATATGTTGGTTAATGAACAGAATTATGTAGAAACATTTATCAATTATTTCAATATTCGAGCATATGATTACAGCTATAATACGTTAGCATACCTATAAGTTCTATGAAATACAGAGAAGCGAAAACGAAGTACGTAAATTGTTTCAATATTCGAACATATGATTACAGCAATAATACGTAAACATACCTAAGTTCTTTGAAATACAGAGAAGCGAAAACGAAGTACGTAAATGATGCTAGTAAAAAATAGATACATCGGCGAATTATGAGCAGTTTTGTTGAGGGCTACGAACAACTGAATATTCATGGAAGTGCTTGTCACAAAATTAACCACTCTGAAAACGAAAAGAACTTAAAAATATATATGGATAATCCGAGTTTAGAAAAATCTTTACAGTGACACTAACTCAACTGTATTTTTAAATTATTGTTTAAAAACTAATTTTTAAGATAGATTTTATTTGTAATTGTTTTCAATGAAACAAACAATTTGATTACTTTCTAAATATTTTGAGAAAAAGCTTGTTTGCTTTTGTACACTTCACAGCCAACATCATCGCTGTACTTCTAAGCTGACAGATCCTGCTGTCATCATCTCAAAAATAACGAATCATAATCCATTATCACCATTTCTTCCTATTTATAGCATATAATGAGGGAAACTGTTCTACTCCAGCACCCGAGCAGAGTTTGGCAACGCAAAATCCCTGTCGCTCTGCCCAGCGTTAGTGGCGAGTGATGACTGAACGTGAGCCTAGTAAGCCGTTACTGCAAAAAAAAAAGAAACTGTTTGGGAAAGAAATTTCCATCTTACCGACGGCATTTTCTGGGGGCTGTGACCCTTATTAGGGAAAAAACGTCACAAGAGGATTGGATGGCCGCTGAAGCTTTCAGTTTTTGTTCAGTCCAAACAATTAATGTAGGGACAAGAAATTCTGCAAAGTGGTATAGTCATACTGGAGAATTCTATTGAAGCAAGGCTACAAAGATATTGTGAACTTTGTACCGTCTTCCTCAATGAATGATTGCAAATTTTCAGAAAAAGTCATGTTGAACGATTAACGAGAATTAATGAGAATAAAAAATGAGATGGTCAGGAACACTTAGGATCGAGGTCACCTCTCCAGCCCTGCAGCCTCAGCATATCGCCGAGATAAAACCCCCTTTGCATAAATCGCTCTCGATTATCGGTCATAAAGTGGTCTCCTATAATGCGCCAATAATTTGCAAGCAAGGACTACGACGCCTAGACAGCCGGGGAGAGAGACGTTCCGCGAAGCTTCAGTTCGCCGTCAACTTAAAAGTTTGGGTTGAAGTTCACACAACCTCCTCCTCCAGCACTGACTTTAAGGCCAGTAAAGAAATTGCAGTTATCTGATGGAAATGATAACAGTCCAAGAAACTAGCGAAACTTTGAGAATTTCGCTTCAAACTGCCGCTTTGATAAGCATTTTTACGACTTCTGCTTGCTGGGAAAAATTGAAGTCACGCAGACGTCGATACAGGGGATTTATGTTGCAAGAGAAAACCGCTAGGATAATACGAAGTTATTGAGGTCATCTGACTTATTTTATTTATTACTTTCAAATGAACAAATCCCCTAGGCAAACTGCTTTTGTTAATTAAATAAAAAATTTTTTCAATCCGCAGCTCATTTCTGCCCTGCATGTACTCAGACTCAGTGTTTGAAAGGCTAGAAATTAATTTCGTGCAATTAGTTTATTGATTATACTGTAGTGGGTGAAAAATCCCAGAAGTGATTAGAAGATTAGAAACGGAGAGTATTGGTTAGATTCTCGTTCAGTATTTATTAAGCAGTGAAATATAAAATGAATGGGAAACCAACCGAGTTATTAATTTATCTGTAAATTAAGCCCCCTACAAAACTGGATCAAATAATGATTGCACCATCGCACTAATTATAATAATGACAAACAATCGAGTATTAAAAACCCTTTGATTCGAAATTTTTAAAATTACGTTAATCTCTTCAGGCGAAGCATTGGTATTTGGAAAATTAGATCGTTGAAAACATCTGCACGTAAATAGAAAATTCACTTGTAATAAAATAAAAATATAATATGCGCAAAAAGACACTATTTCGTTTAAATAAGGGTTGCACTTAACTAATATGCACATTCATTGTAGCAAAATGAACTGTTTGCCATAGTCATTGAACTGTGTCAAAATTAGTAAACATCTCCTAATTGCGCCAATATTTACTCTCCTAGCATTTAATTTATGCAGGATATTTATTTCAGTTGGAAGGCATAGTTATATTCCAATTATGACGAATGAATAATAAATGTATGTAGAATATTAGCTTAGGTTTGGTGATAATTATTCGTGGTATAAAGAATGTTTCTTTCAGGGGGCCACATACATATTTTTATTCATTCTTAGCTCACTTGTGAAGAGGGAATCATACATTGCCGAACACGTTCGTTTGCTAAAAACAAATGTATCCTTTATAAGCAATGCGTCTACTACTGTTCCATTAAACTTTATAAATGACTTAATAAATAAATCACTAAATAAATATAAATAAATTTTTAATGCAGTGGTCATTCAATCATTGTGAAACGATTTATCCCAAATGTTTCAATTTTATAATGTCAACAGATTACAATTAAGTTTCGCAGGAAAAATTAAAAAATTGGGATATTTTGAAAATTGCCAACTGAATCTCTTGTTTTTAAGGGAATTAATTTCGAATTAAAATTAGTGAAATACATATTAATTTTTATCAACTTCTGGCGCGTTTCTTCGGCATTGCCGAAAATACCGAAAGCAATAAAAGCGCTTTAAAAGTGTTTTCTCAGCCTTTTGTAAGACAAAATTAATTGAGGGAGAACCGTCAGCACGCCATTGATTAAATTAAACGAAAAACAAGCTTCATTTTTTACGATTTACGTAAATTCAAATATTCATGGCTCACCAAACTTACAGCAATCCTAGAAGAACCTGATAAATATTGAAATATGCTAACGCAAGAAGCTGCTTGAGAACGAAAAATTAATTTTTTAGTAGGGTACACTTAAAAATTGTATTTCAATTTATTTTAAGTTTTCGGCATTTGCAAACACATTATCCGCTCAAAGAGACAATTCCAACCGTGAAGTGTAATTTAGTTCCCCAGGATACCCTTCCCGGCGACGATATGGAGCAATTTCCCCCTCTATTATGGCAGATGCTCAAGGGGCCAAAAACAATACGAGCAATAGCTAAATATCCCTGCGTCATCACCGAGAAATGTAGCAGGGGTTTTGTTCTCTGATAACCTGCCGTTACGCACGCAGATGAGAACATTTTCAGAACTTTTTCAGAAGAGCTGTGCATGCTTTGTCCACTAAAAAATATCCAATTTCCCATTGTAATGATTTTTAGTTCTAGAAATTTTTAAGCAGATGTTCTGGCAACATCGACCAAAGTATTAGAAGGACTTGTCTTACGGCTTGGCCATTCGTTGATTCTTACTAAAGCCAGCCGCTTGTCTTCTTGCTCTTGGTAAGCGTTAGGTTATCTAATGTGTAATAAAATAACTGCGAGAATATGTTCAGAATATTGTTGTACTCATCTAGTTATTAGTGATTAATTAATTTAATGAATTTTCGTGTTCATTTGTAGGAGAACTTCCCTCCTCTGTTCTGCTGTCTACTGTTCTACTTTAATAAACTTGGAACTTGGATCCAGCCTAATGACATTCACCCATTGGAAGTTACCGCCAATGAATTAATAAACTCGTCCGTTTGAACTTGAACCAATAGAAACATTACACCCATTAAACCAAACACCATAAGTCCAAGGAAAGAAATAAATTCAGTGTTTTTGATAGCATATATTGCAAGTTGTGATCATGACGTTATTTTCCCTAGAAAATCTATGAAAGTTCAGGTAGAATGCTTGAAAATGATCCAATCTAAAAGTTTTTAAATGCAAAATTGAAACGCGTTCTTTCATTTATTTATAACATTCACATGCCATGCCGTGGGATCTGAATTGATGAAGATTTATTTTGCCTTAAATATGACCTCCCATCTTGTAGCTTCACGTTGAAATAAGCGGGTTTCCCGGCCTTGGGAGATAAATTAGATATACTTATCACAAGTCAATTTCATAGAGTTGGGCAATCCGTCTAATTAGTTTTCAATCATGGATATTAACGATAACTACTATACTTGAACAATTTGCTCAATCGAAACTCAATTAAAGGAAAAAGATTGCGCTTCATGAAAATGAATGATTGTATACGAACTAACAGAATACATCCGAACATCATTTTGTGTAGAATTTACATTTAAATCTTCGGATTCTCTTAATCAATTAGCTTTAAATACTGGTATTAGACTGAAAAAATCACCAATATGTGTCGTTCATGCTGCGGATAATTTTTGAGAATTATCAGTTATTGATATATCACTGGCCTATTTATCATCGTCATTGCTGCACGTGAGCAATCAGGTCTGTTGTTATGTTATTTTGGCAGCATATGTCTCATGGTTATTGCTGCTCATTGTCGATATTAGAGTTGTTATTTACATTGCTTTGATTTTTTCTAACCGCCATAACTGCGCAGAACAAATGCAGGTCTCTTATTCATATGGCTTATGCCAATTTCTGTATTCATAGAGCTTATGCCGATTTCTTAGCTTCCATGAGCTAAATCATGTTCATTATTTATGTTGCTTTGGCCTATATCTCATCGTCATTCCTGCGTATGAGCAATAAATACATGTCATACCGGTATACGCATCACATTAACACTCAACATTTACGACTGCAAAAGGCGGATTTACGGAGGCGGAGGCAAAAAATCTTCCTGAGATCGAGCTGTCCGCCGCTGAAAGCCTTCCCAATACACTCGTGTCGGCATCAGAGGCTTGTCCGGTAAAATACCAGCATAAATGCATGGCTAGGAAATACGGCCTTTACGACTAGAGGAGGAACACGAAGACGAATTTCGTTTTATTCGCTTTTAGGTGACTAAAAACAGGTGATTTTTCTCAGAGCACTGCGACGCTCAGATGGTGGTGACTTACTTTTTATCTCGTGTAACTTGCCGTGTGATCAGACATGTATGATGGTGGAAGAATATTGGATACCTGCTGGTGATTACTCAAGAATTATTACTAATTTTAATAGAACTCAGCAATTCGCATGGTTTAGTTTTATTGACCACGAATAAAAACTATTTTCGTTGGTAATATTTATGAACGAAGCATGCATTGCAGATTATTTTACTGTCTAGACTAAAATTTAACACTACGAAAATAGTGAAAGATTTAAATCTGTTTAATTTAGAGGCGCTCGATCTTTTATCGGTTAATTTCTGACGGACAGTCCGACTAGATCATATGGAGCAATTGTATTTTAGGTTGATATATCTAGCGAGACTTGTGCAAATGCTATTTTCCTTCAAAACAGAAACTTCATTATTTTCTTTACAGGCCAGTTGAACAGGTGTTTGTCTTGACGAAATTTTAAATTTATAAATGAACGCGCTGAGTAATAAAATTCATATATAACATGTTTGAAAAATGCTCACAGATGATATCATGTGTAACGTATATAGCTTTGAAAGGAATTCTTCAAATAATTTCCGACCACAGGAATCCTAATTTGAGTGTCCGGCTTTATTCACAATATTTCAATCTTCAGCAGAAGCCAGACTAAATATTCTCAGATATGTTTTCCCTCAAATTCTTTTGCATACTTCAACCTTGCTTCTAATTTTTTGGCCTTCGTATACCTTTTTTCCTAAGGGCATTCATGACCTATGTTGAAGAGTTCTCAGTATATATGCGTCGTATTCTTGACGTCTTTTGCATGGATGCCTGTATTGGCTGCCGTGAAACGCTCCATCTCGAGGAAGAAAAATTTGCTTCCTGTATGCGGTCTTCCCGCCACACTAAATCTGCATTACAATTGATGATAATTTTGCTCATTAAAAAGCAAAAATATTGATCATAATTGCCTTTAACGGCAAGACTATTTTTAAGATGTCATAGAATTCAATTTAGAGATTGTTCATTTATATTGCTTAAAAGCTCGGGAATGTTCCGTCGAATGTAGCCGAGAGATTTTTTAACGTCCGTTCTCAAAATTTGTCGATGTATAAATACATTGGATGAGTGCATTCAATTAAATGACAGTGTCGTTGAAAGGATTGGTAAAATTTTGGCCAAAAAGCATCATATAAACTTTATTTCAACGGGTGTTCAATTAAGCGCTGGCTGCTCCAGTAGCGTTGCATTGACGTCCAATGATGCATTAATTATACAGGAGCTCGCATGAACATCACCGAGCTGATATGGACCCAAAATCCATAAAAACATCCCCATTTGCATTTAAAATGAGGCCAAACTGAAGCACAACATGGCACAATATGCACCAATACAGGCAATCCCTATAGAAGTCCACGGGCGTGTCAGCTACGCCAAACTTGAGGGGATTGGAATCAATGAATATTCAATATCCTCGCATTATTTTTCCTATAATATTGGTTCCTCATATATACCGTTGCCAGGAATTTGTTACAATGGATTTCATTGGTCAGCATTACCATAGAATGCAAGCAATGTCTGCGTGAATGTTCTTCCCAATACTTCAGTTTCAGCTGTAAATTACGGCGCCTGAGGAATGATTAGGATGACGAAGCTAGGAATCTATGTAAATGGATGGGAATTTTTAGACATCGGTTTATAGGGAATTGGAATTGCTAGCGGAGCTCACGAGCTCGAATACTTCGTACTTGAGCTACCCGCGGGCAGGAGCCTAATTAGAATTTTATAGCAGATAATGGACATCGTTCATTAAATCTGAGATTAAACTTAGATTTTTAGGCTGGCCCAATTTATCTCGTTTTTGGGCAAAAGCCAAAAATGTTTGTGAATAAATTACGGCGGCTTGTCAGCGGCCAGGTAGAATACAGAATAGAGATAAATTTTAACATTTTTGGCTTACAAGTGCCAACATATTCTGACGCCAATAATTGTGGTGATACAACAGTGAAAAATTATGAAAAGATTAAAATAGTCGTAAGAAACTCTACTGAAAAAAGTTGGAGATTAGCGCTCTTCATTGAAGGGTAAAGTTTGACCATTAAGAATAGCTTGGCCGTCACTAGCTGAGGTTTACGACGCTGAAAGAAATTAAAAAATAACACTGACTCTGCACACGAGCAATATTTACGATGCTACCGTAAAGCTGCAGGTCCTTTACATTGAAGTTGCACTAATTGTTCGAAAAAAAGCCTCTTTATTGTCAGAAAAATATGCAATAATACTAAATGAAGTTAGGACTTATTTATTTTAATAATATCACAATTAAAGGCTGTTAAAGTATAATAATAAATAATGCTTGGCTATTTCGTCCTCTAGTTGTCTTTATTCAACAGACCGCCTAATTCATAATACTCACCCGCTGGTCATCAACGCCCGACATGTCGTGGTACTCACCCGCTGGTCATCAACGCCCGACATGTCGTGGTACTCACCCGCTGGTCACCAACGCCCGACATGTCGTGATACTCACCCGTTAGTCACCAACGCCCGACATGTCGTGGTACTCACCCGCTGGTCGTCAACGCCCGACAGGTCGTGGTACTCACCCGCTGGTCGTCAACGCCCGACAGGTCGTGGTACTCACCCGCTGGTCGTCGACGCCCGACAGGTCGTGGAATTCTTCTCTCGTGATCATGAAGGCGGCAAGATTGGCGGTGTAGATGGCCAGGAACACCACGGCAAACATCGCCCAAATGTTTGCCATGAAACTGTAAATAGTAAAAGGGTAGAGTCAGTCAAAAGACCGTAATGAGCTCGAACAGCAACATGAATTGTTCAAACAGCGTAATGCGTTACAGCAGCAACACTGCAACACGCTTTGCTCAAACAGCGTAATAGTTTAGAGCATCAACACGCATTGTTCAAATAGCGTAATAGTTTCGAGCAGCAACACGTATTTTTCAAACAGTTTAAAGCGTTCGAGCAGCAACACGCATTGTTCATAAGGCGCTATGCGTTTAACCAGCAGCACGCATTGTTCAAAGAGCGCAATGAGATCGAGCAGCGAACGATGCGACATATCACGCAATGACTGCAAGGACTGATATGCGGCGACGGCTGGTGACAGCCAAAGCGCCAGGATTAACATAGGCTCTGATGGATGAACGACGTCTGCATGGAGACACTGATACCGAGCCATGATTAGAACTCATGACGTAAGCAACCGATGAAGTTCAAGATTTCCTGTCCGTATGAATGATTTTGCAGCAACATTTTACAGAATTTTTTCAAACTTGTGCTCCAAGCTGCTATTGTAACTCACGTTTTGTGATTGCTTCTTTCCATGATGCTTCAATAGCTATACTCAGATGAAAAGACTGATGAGATGTAACACAATAGATTTCGACGAAAAGATGAAAATCATTGAATTTTTCACGAGATTCTACCAAGTTCACTCACTTACTGCGGCAAATCCAATTCAGGCATATGATTTTCTTCCAGTAAATTTTAGATTTCCAATCTCTCACGAAATTCTACAGAAGTGACTTCATGTTACCCGATATGGGAGCAGTTCTCTGGCGTATTGCTGGCTTGCATTTCGCAATAGACTAAGTAGGAACATTTGCCAGATGCGTTGCCGCGTTAGGCTGACAATCCCTCTGAAGCCTCTAAGAAAAGGAGAAATCGTCGAGAAATTCTGCATCAACATCTGGGCTAGCTGTTTGTGTGCATTTAACAGATATAGTGAAGTGGAAGTTGGCATTAAACCAGTTCTACAATTTGATGCTTATTCATCACCTGACGCATTTAGAATAGAATAGAATAGAAGTGTCGGCATTGAAGAAATAGGCCCATATGGCCTGTCTTGAACTTTTCGTGACTTGATTCACATGGGATCCGGCCTTTGGAACCCGATCTTTCCATAACTGACGATTGATTAAGTGATTGATTAACTGATAACTGATTCACCTGACAAAGACGTTTATCACCTGACGAAGCTCCGTAAATCGAATAAATCAAAATGCGATCACTGAGAAGTGTGCAAAATTAGCATCATCAATTCAGACATATTGATTGATATATTCTTTGATGTATTGATTCATGGAATACATACAAATTGACTCAGTTTTCGATTTCTATTGAAACTTTGAGTAAGTTCATACCTTTTTCCACACTCCGTTGGAATAAAATTTTATAGAGCCAGGGGGCGAGCGGACTATTCAAGAGATGCACTTTCGGTTAACTCATTCAGCAAGCAAGCGTAAATCGATACTGAAACAAAGCAGGGTTGTTCTGCTCATATATAAATAAGTCATGTCTATATTCATTTGTATGCGACATTTTGCTGTCCCGAAAAAATTACGATGATAATGCTATCCATTTTTGCGCTTATCCTATTTATTTTTACCAGCATTATTTCGATAGGTTAAATTTTTGACGCTTAAAATTTCATTAGTTTTATCCTCACAATTTGCAGTTAATTTTTTCTAGCAAAACACAAAAGACCTAATCAGCAAAATATGTTCCCAACTCTTCTCACAGAAGGTGTTTTCCTACTTAATAAAATAAATTTAATCATGATTTTGGAACTAAATTACATTTTAGATGTTAGTGGTAACCTTGTAATACAGAGGGCCTTGACTTCTATTCCTTTCGCAATATAAAAGTTGCGAATTGTTTGAAAATAACCATAAATCTGTGGCGCATTTACCGCATAAATTAAAGGAAATTCGGCAGCAGCCTCATTTATGCTGAAAGAATTCCCGTAGTTCAGGAGGAGGTAACATTTATGAGAAACTTTAAGGAATATTTGATGAACAGTAATGAGGCTCGCTGCGTTAGTAGGATGCCGACTAATCTTTAACTTTGAGAGACGCCAGGCGCATTATTCGAATAGCTTATAAAGTTTAAACGAGAAATTAGCTACGCGTAGTACCAATATATTGGTTTTGATAGAACGAGCTAAGTCACACTATAATATTTACTGCTGAATTCTGTATTTTTTTATTGTTTATTCAAAAAACGATGCTTCACAAGAACTAACGTAATTCTTCGTACATGACGTAAAATAATGGTCACACGAAGACACGAATTATTGATCATTTTATACCGTCGATTTCTGAGAAAGTATAAATTAATTAATTAATTCTTGATTGAATTTTTTAGGGAAGAATTTATTCAAAATGAGATTCAGTTTAAATATACACACCTTCGTCGACCTCTGAATTTGAATTAATTGATAATAATGGTGGCTTAATATGGTTTGGTAATATATCATGTACTCACCTATATTAATAATTCGCTGATGTATACATTTTATTCCATGGAACTTAAAATTTCCATTGTTTAAATACTATTTTATTCGATGTTTGATCCATTCAAGCCATCTTTACTTTTATATTTTTAATTTCTGACTGTCCATTCGTTCGGATAAATAACCTAATAGATAATGCAATCATTTTTCAATCTTAGACTTAAATAATAGCGAAGGCACCACTTCGAACCCAAAAACGACGTCTAAGTGGCAAGAAAGTTATTAAAAATTCGTCCATCACAATGAATGAACAAAGTTATTATGTTTTCATTCATTATTAGATTTTTTTTATTATTGGAAACGCCTCCGGGACAGCAGTGAATGAAATCGTAAAAAAGAGAATTAAATTGGATCAGAAAATTAAATAAAATGGTTTTCTTCTCACTGTGTCAGGTTGCATGGTCTTTCCGAGGTCAGTTTCTACGTACAGTATCACTCATTGTAAAAGTAGATGGCTGTAATCTGAAACCTATAGCCCACGAATGGGCCAACTAAAGGCAATGACCAATTAAGGCCTGCAAGGTTCGACCTGATATCGGCTATCGCAATCTGAAGCTCAGCTCACGACGTTCATCGCAGCCAGGCGTCGCCGCAAGACGATCATTTGAGCCGATGGTTTTTGTTCTCAGTAAATCAGTTTACTAGTAATCTTAACACTAAAATTTAAATACGAGTAAACCAGTAGTAGAATTTAGTTATGAGTTATGGAAATCGATTTGTATTATACGCGGATCATTTAGTTCTGTTTCCGCAGAAAATTCTTAACGCGTAAAGAGAGCGCAATTTATTAGATTAATTACATCTTGGGCAATGAATTAAAGTAATGCTAGAAAGTCAAACCGTTAAATGAGGATATTTATTGAAACAATCGCTTGCAATTATTGAAGACACTTCTTGATGATGCAAGGCTTGCATTTGACTCATCGCTCAATAATGATTGTTGTTTGAAGATTATTTGTCGATTTCTGAACATATAAAAAGTTCTAGGACCGAGTCAAATTCGTCAGAAAAATTGAAAAATAATGTGCAATAATACTAGGGTTAAATTGAACTTTATGGAGCAAATATGAATGTCGGGCGAGTCAGACTAGGATCATAGTGCACCCAGTTTCTGGGTGACTTCCTAAAACAGACGACCGCTCATTCAAAAGTGAAATATCCCCACAAGCGCCTGCCTTCTCTCAGAGCCACCGATAAGGATGATGAAAGGTGACCGGGGCCTTTCACTGCAGATAAAAGAAGCATTATTTCAACGCCGTACGCAACGTAGGCTATGAAAATGGTTCAGTTGATGTAAAAAACGACTTCTTGAGCAGCTACACGAAAAGTAAGAAATGAGAAGGTGTCATCAGATTTTTCGAGGAGCGAGGCAGCAAAAGCATGAGCAAAAAGAGTCATCGGAGGCCAAATGATCGATGAGCATGCATTCGTGGGTGGTTCCCAACCCAAACGCATTCTATTCAGTAAATTTGAAGAATTCGACCGCATAATGTAGACCGGAAAGAAACCGAACGATGTTCTGGTGACAATATATGCAAAAGTTTAATTAATCATTGAGATAGCCACTACGTGATTGTATCCATTTATTGCAATAATTCAATCTGGGAAGAAGCTAAACACTATGAATGAACTCGTTTGGAATTCGAGTCAGCATTTTTTTAATTCGTATCGAATGCGATATCCTAAGTACCAACTTCTTCCCTCTCTGATGCAATTACAGGCAAGTTACAAGGCGTGCTAGCAAAAAAGTACCGATATGACGTAGAAAATAACAAGGTGATTAAAAAAAATATTCAAAGGCCATACTTTACTCAACTTCTCCTCATAACTCCCATTAATATTGAGGCATTTATTAGATCTTGAGACCAGCCATTGTACTCCATCGTCATAGAAGCTTGTCGCCTGATTAAACAACCTGACTGGACAATTTCGTAGAGAACACTTCTTGAGACAGCAGGGAACTTTCAGCTCAGGACGAAATCGAGAATTGTCTGTTTAGTAAAGGATGAAATCGAGAATTTTTTTAATTAGATCATCCGTATATAATGACAGAAGGTCTCTCATTTCGTTTCTTATCATGAATGTTGGTGCCACCATCTTTGAAGGCTCTGACTCATTTCCGCACCATTCCATCGTTTATTAGGTTTTAACCAAACTTTTGACTGATTTGGCGCTGAATGTCAACTTATTTGAAGCATTGAGCGCAGAGAAACTACGTACGTACTTTGCAGTTGGCGGGATTCTCAACAGGTGAAGGCATTTTAAAATCGTGTAAACAGATGTAGACTGGATCAGATGGTTCCGTAATGGCGTCTGCAGCTTTCCAACAGATGTGGCTGCCCGAAGCACATGCGGTAAATGGCTGTCGTAGCGCTGCCAAGGCGTAGCTTAAGAAACAACAATTTAATTCTAAAACACTCCTCGTATAAATCTAACTTACTTCCTAAGATATTTAAGTTACAAGCCGCGTGATGCTTAAACGGGCCTAAGATGTTTGGTTTACCCAAATATTAAAAAAATTCTAGTTTCTTTCAAGACCAGTTACAGAGCGTTAGTAACAAATGAATTAATATGGTTTATTTACAAATTGAATTTGTCTTCATCATCATCAGTACTATCTATAACCTAAAAATGGGCCAAACAATTCGATGAATGATATTGTTGCACTTCATTACTCATGCATAACCATATTCTTTACTCTGAAACCTCAACAGCCACTTGAGGGAGCGAGTGCGAGTGAGGAAGCCAATCAGAGCGTTTTAATAGATAGCTTGGCTGCCTGGCCATTCGTTTACATGCCTCCTCGAATACACCAGACAGATTGACCGGCGCAGGATGATTATAGAAATGATTATTCCCGGCCGACGCGTTTTTTAGTTACCAACTGAAAATTCTTTTCTTATAAATTGAAACAGCAGAGGTATTACTGGACCGTTTGAGGATAGGCTCAGACATGACTGTGATATATTATATCTACTTTTATGATAATTTGAATAATTTGTTAGTTTTGGCTCCGCTGGTTACGTCAGGGTCTATAAAAAATCTGTTACAACGACTGGAGAGTATGTAAAAGTTTTAAAACGTTTTTTCTAGATTGTGTATTGTAAAAACTAATGCATATATTATGTGATATAGCACAACAAATTGTATGCCCATTTGATAATAGTAACTAGAAAAATATTGCTGAGTATGAAGAATGTTCGTAATTTTACCTTATTCTTATACACCTAAAAATAAATGCACCAATCTATTGTTAGACTTAAAAGGAAGCTCTGTGATGTTCTTCTTTCTTATTCAGACTCGTGAGCCTTCAACCTCCCCTTAAAGGACGCTGACTCATTCACGAACTAAAAAATTTCACTGGCTGAAAATTTGCAGACAAACACAGACTCCTTCGCCAATTAGAGGCGCAGTGCGGGGAACGAAATGCACAATATGACTTATAGTTTTCAAACCTGGTCGATCAATTAGTGTGGTGAAGGAAATGCTCAAAACGACCCTTATTTTCCACCCTGCTCTATAAATTTATTTAACAAAAAGAATAAAAAATATTAATCGATTATTTTAACAGAGCAAATCCTATCTTCAACTCCAAAAATCATTCAAATAATTGAAATGACATTTTTGCGTTTATCACAGCAGACTGAGTGAATTTCTGAAAAGATATTTTGCGTCTTGTCTTTCTTTCTCAAATAATTTCATTTAGAACATTTATAATTGAAATTTGTATCAAAAGGAATAAAGTGCGTTCTAGATCTTCTTGTAATAAACAAGATATAATATACTCATATATTAAATATTTTTTGTCATTAGAACAAACAAACATGATTGTAAGCGACCATAATTTATTGAAATGAGTTACTGATGATTCGAACTGCTGTTCAAATTGATCATCATATAAGGTCAGTTCCATGATTGTTGACGGCATTCAACAAAGACCTTGCCAATAATTAAACAACCAACAAATACTGGATCAGATGGAACTGACCCACAAGCGCCAGCTTACTTAATCGGATCCAGCTTACTGTTCAGCGTCCGATCAGATTAACGAATAACAACTAACAAATTAATTAAAACCTACCTCATGTCATCCGATCAAATTAACGAATAACAACTAACTAATAAACTAATACGGACCTTCGAAACGTCATCCGAACAGGTTGACGCAAGTTAGGTGTGCCTGTCACATTATAAGGTCTCCTGGCATTTAATTCAATATTAATTCGAGTAGGCAAACTTCCTAATGTTTATTTGATCGCTAACTTTTAATTAAGCAAAGCTTTGTCTTTGTCTAAATAAGGCACTGGTAAATAATGACATTAGGTCAAAAATGTCGGCTGAAATGCGTTTGAGCTCACAAATGCTAGCTTTTGATCGGAGAGCTAAAACTCTATATCTATCACATTCTGTCGGCAACACAATGCGGCACAACCTATAGCAACATCACAATATAGTTTTGCCACTACATTCCAGAATTTATAGGCATGATGAAAAATTATAAGGAATATGAAAAGCGTTGTTAACTTAGATATTTATCGAAGAGAAATTAGGCACCTTACGAATTAGACACAATAGACACACAAATTAGAGGTGTGCGAAAATTTGACAATGGAATCGCTCACGAGTTCCTATTTATGGAATAATTCAAATAAAGTAAGATCTCTGGAGGGTACCGTTAACGAAATAGAGCTTGAAAGAAATTAAAGAGATATTTCCTAGGAGAAACCGTAAAATCGTTGCTACTTGAAAGAAATGTGGCCCCTTGTTATTCGACGCCACGTTTTAGATAAATGGCAGCAATTGTCATTCTTTACTCGACAATATTTTCTTTGTAACATTTCAACCCTTAAAAAACATTTTCAAAAGTTTTAATCTGCGGTGCAATCCTAGTTTGCATTTACAACTCATCACGAAGTCCATTTAGGAGCCTCCATGTTCACCCAGCGCAGTGATGTAATTAGTGTCTATATAGCCCCATGTTCACCCAGCGCCGTGATGTAATTAGTGTCTATATAGCCCCATTTTCACCCAGCGTAGTGATGTAATTAGTGTCAATATAGCCCCATGTTAACCCAGCACTTTCATTTACTTAGTGTAAAGAAATGACCTTATCTTAAGTAAAGCTATGAGGCTCACTCACCGCGCCGTGAATCCCTTAGGACAGTCGACATGAACAGCCGCCTGGAACAGAACCGCCCACACGAGCCAGTAAGTTCGCAGGAGGGAGAACTTGTGGTCGCGTGGAGGCGCCACCTGACGGAAGGAAAAAATTTCAAAGTCAATACCAGGTCAGAAGGCGGGCGTGTGAAGATAAACACATGCAGCTGGAGCGTAATTAACAAGGCAATTGCATACATACACGAGGCGTAAAAGCTAACACTGGATATGATGGTCTATGAATCAAAAATAAAAACCGTAATAAATTTTTACGTATCGATGGATGATCTGAATACCTGCACAAGAAATAATTTCAAGGTAAATTAATTCATTCGGTTTTTAGAAAATAACGAAATCAGCCATATTTATTCGTTAATCAGAATAAATAAAGAATTGCAGTCAAGCTTCTGAAGTTAGTAAAATAAAGCCAGTTCACAAAATTAATTGGAAAGAAGATGAGACAGCAGTTACACTATCACTGAGCTAAATATGGTGAGAAGCTTTCCTCGAAAGACCAGCCATGGAAATCAGATAGAATTCCCGCACCCTTTCAGTTCAGACATCCAAGACAAATGGGCAATTTAGGCCAGGTCAGCAATTTCTGGAGTCGACGCATCAAATTGAACGTCAATTTAAACTCCTCAATTCTAGCTGCAGAACGGAGTAGCCGCAAAGCCAATTTTCGTACCGAATATCTTAACTTTGAGCGTGTTTGAAACCTCGGCAGGACTGCACAAAGCCTTTGTTCTCTTATTGGCTGTGGTTTGAGGCAAAGCATCAGCTTATTGTTCAGCGTCCAGGGCTGCGAGGGAACAGCTTATTGTTCAGCGTCCAGAGCTGCGAGGGAACAGCTTATTGTTCATCGTCCAGAGCTGCGAGGGTACAGCTTATTGTTCAGCGTCCAGAGCTGCGAGGGAACAGCTTATTGTTCAGCGTCCAGAGCTGCGAGGGAACAGCTTATTGTTCAGCGTCCAGAGCTGCGAGGGAACAGCTTATTGTTCAGCGTCCAGAGCTGCGAGGGAACAGCTTATTGTTCAGCGTCCAGAGCAGTGAAGTCGGCCTTTGTTCGAGTGTCAATTTGTGATTATTCGTCCTTTTGTCCAGCGCGCTTTTGAAGACTCCTATGATGATAACATCGATTCAAATGACTGAGGGAGATAGACTTAATATATTCAGGGTCCCGCCGATGTTGGGGTCTGGCTGATTATATAGCATCATGGATTTACTTGTATTTAATTTAGTATAAGTTTTGATTGAGAATGTAGGACCTACAACAAAGGAAACTTTTGATTTCATGAAACTGAATTAACGAATTGCGTAGGTTTTAATTATTTTATATTCTAAATACACATACCACATAAATTAATTCATTCACATACCTGCTATTTCAGTATTACTCTTGGTGAGCTCACTTGGAAGAGACTGTCATCTACCCAGAGTAATTAAGTACAGCAAATAAACAAACCTGCTCTCGCGCTCATATTCTGTCGAAAATGGAGAGAGTTTCTCTAGAATATTCAGAGAAGGAAGTGCAGCGCATAAGCACTAAACGGACAATAATTATCCACGTGTCGGTAGAGTAGTGTCCGCTTATTAAATTTATTTCACGTGTCGGTAAATTAAGTAGTGTCCGCTTATTAAATTTATTTCACGTGTCGGTAAATTAAGTAGTGTCCGCTTATTAAATTTATTTCACGTGTCGGTAAATTAAGTAGGGTCCGCTTAATAAATTTATTTCACGTGTCGGTCAAATTATGTAGTGTCCGCTTAACAAATTTATTACACGTGTCGGTAAAATTAAGTAGTGTCCGCTTAATAAATTTATTTCACGCATTTCTCGCCCCGCCTCAACACGCCGTCGAGTGCTGGTATCGCCGGTCACGGCTCTTGGCCTTCTTTATGGCGAGGAAGAATATCGACGAAACGCAGAAAATACGGACCGCCTCATCTCGGTAAATGTTAAATAACTATGTCAGATCATACATGGCTTTATCTACTGCTCATTGCACCTTGATCACCGCTGCTGCTGTTCAGCGTAATTCCTGACTGTGCTCAGCGGTGCAGGTGCTAATTAGGAACCTTTTTTAAAAAAACTCGTTATTTCTAGTTCGAGAATTTCGGTAAATAAAAGCGACTTTTGAAGGAGCATATTATTGGGTTTATAGAAAACACAATATAAAAATGAGTTTTTAAATAAAAATTATTTATCAAATATTCAGATACGAAATAAACCTAGGCATGAGCAACTATTTGAACAATCACATCATACCAAATTACTGGAGTCTATGCATCATAAGTGGCTCAGCAGAATATCCACTATGATCCTCTTCTTCATATGATGAAACTCTCGCTCCAGAGCGTTAGGCTTTAAAGCAATGCGGAACATTTAACAGATGGTGGTCAGCATCAGAGAGGCTAGCGCCCTCGTTTTTCTTACCGTATATGTTTTATGCGAATGCAGTTCAATATTTGTGGAAAGGATCGTCTATAGGCGCTGGTTTTACCCTTTCACAGACGCATATAATCAATTATTTTAACTGTTGAACAGAAATGTTAATTAATGCACTGCAGGTGTTGCCGATGGCTACAATCTTGTACTACGACCTCGATTTTACAGGGGGTATAATTGAACCCATAAATTGTTCCAATGGCTTACGTATTTTTAAATTCACTATAGCATGTAAGCATGTACTGTCATCGCAGACTTCTACGTCAGCTCAAATTTAGACTCTGTTTTGATATGTTAGTCTATCTACACACTATTTGCAATTCTCAATCAGCCATGAACAGCTTCCTGGACCGGCTTACACACAATGCAATATACCAGTGTCAAGGTCGCTGTCATGATGCATTTCCTCCTCTTAACTGCACTGCCACGCGAGTCCGGCAGCGCGCTTGGAAACAACAACTTGAAATAAAGGCCAGTAATTCAGGAGGAGTTGAGCCAAAAAGGCGGTGCTAAATTAAGAAGATATTGCACAAGTGCCAAAGCTGCTGGCGACTTAGAGGCGCCTCCGTGACCGGACAAGGAGCTTGGATCTTCTGCAGTAACCTAGTCTAATTGCCACTAATATTTCATTATGGCGCAATATTGTGTGATTGTGTCTTATGGTGAACATAGGCACAAATATTTTATCTGCTGGCATACGTAGTTCAAACAGTGAAATGTGATTCCCGAATGAAAATTCGATTTTTAAAATATTTTTTCCTCCCAATGACTCAGGATATGTCAGCATAGTTGATCAAGATTAAAAACTTTATATACATTTTTTGATATCATTTTGTATCGAGCAAGATTGTAAAAATCCTTTATTGAACCAAAAATATCTTATGCTGTGATTAAAATGTACCGAAGCTGCAGTTCAGTTGAAGGAGGCCCAAGAATTACCGCAATGGCTCAAACTTTGCGCCGCTCGTCGCCTGTCGGCGCGACTTTCCGTAATCCGTGCAATTCGGGCGGCGCTGAAGTGGATCGAGCCTCGAAAGTTCGGATTTCTGCAACGCGACTAAGCCATCGCTGCAATACATGGATATATAGGTAACAATTTTTCTTCGCTACATAAGTATCCTACTAAATGTTTGGTGAAATTGTGGTTAATGTTAATAATTAGCTGTTCTTATTTTAGTCAATTCACGATTTAAGAATATTATTAGGTGATATAGTAGATTGAAAATTTCCTACTATTTCCATTTATGCGACTCATATTATTCATAAACCACTCTCACATGGCTACGAATTTTAGTTAAAAGTCAGTTTTAACTGCTTGATCCCGACAGGCGTACTGCTCTAATGTTTACTGGGTTTGACTTCAGCACCAGGGCAGGTCTTAGTATGAAATGTTGTTTAAGAATTTTTTGTGTTTTCTATTTTTACGAACACTTCACTTGATCTCCGATTACTCCCAGCTCTCATTCTCTTTTCCATTTTCTCATTTCATGTTTGCAATTAATCTTCGATATATTAAACCAATCTTTTATTTCAATTTTAAATTCTATTCAGCTTAAAGCTTTGCGTAGCAACCAATGGGGGAAGAATTTTACAAGAAGCGAGCGTCTGTCATTAGAATGCGTGGCGAAGGTGTCAATCTGAAATATTGTGGCGACGCGGCCGGTCATTTGAATATCATAAATTAGCTCGTAACATATTACATATTTGATTATTGAGTTTTCGGTCATCAATTACGACAATAAGTGTTAAGCACAGGATCGAAATCCAGCCCTAGATATCCCCAAAGCTATATGTAGTTAAACAAGTCCATGCCAGTTCCACAAAATAATAATAATGACAAATAAAAAAGGTCTGCATTGCGTAGATTGCACTAAATTTCTCACTTAATTTCAGTAAAAAATTGGCCGTGCCATATGAGACCTTCTTCATTGCGTGTTTGAATCAAAGATTCATGCTATTGGGAGAGTAGTGGCATTCCAGCACATATAAGTGAAGTTTTGTTTGGAAATCGAAATATTTGTCGAAACCTGAATAGGTCACCTATACTGATGTTTAAGCTGTGTTAAAATAATTAATTTGATTTTTAAATTGTCTCTTGGTTCGATGAAATCAGGCTGAATTCTTGGATAAAGAGCAATTTAATCATGCTCGCAATATAAGAAAATTTTAATTATCTCTGATTTAATTTTCATGACTGAAAGTTGTTCGCACAAAATTGGAATAAAACAGTCATGCATATAAATTATATCACTTGAGCAAATCAGAAAAGTCATGTCATGATAGTAAAAAAGTTATTGGGGACAATTATTCGGATATTTGTGACTAATATTTTTTATAGCCGATTTATCAGAATTTAAACCGTTATACGTTTTATTCAAAACCTCTGTTATTCAAATTCTGCTTGTGAACATTTCATTAGGTCAAGCTCCAGTAGACTATTGTAAAAAATATATTTCTTCACTTCATACACATATACACCGAATTTAACAGATCTGCATCAAAATTATCGCATTTCACCGAACATTTTTCATGCACTAATAGACATTTTAGCGTCATAATAAAATTTTTACTTAGAATTTCTTATGGAGCTACAACACATACAAGCTCAATCAGGTCAACGATTAAGATATCGTTAAAGCAGCTATCGTTTTCTCACAAAACAATTTGTCAGGAACATCTCAAGATATTCTAGTAATGCTAATGTAGGACAGAGAGCCATCAAGTTTATGGGCTGTAAACGGTGAAATCGATCACGAGGAACGACAGGTAAAACATGACACAACCAATAGTAGGGAAGGTACTTCCATCGACAATAAGTAACCGGTAATGTTATTACCACCACGCAAGGGAGCAACAAAAGTGTTTTAAGAGGGGATTGTGGCAGACATAAAATGGCTTCAGCAACGCCACAACACGCTGCTTTGGTAATATCACAACACGCAGCTTCGTAGCGCAAAAATATGCTGTTTCGGCAACGTGACAACACCTCTTTCAGCAACACCACAACACGCAGCTACGGAAACACTACACTCGGCTTCAACAACATACAACACGCTGTTACGGCAGCGCCACAAGACGCTATATTTTAGCAACGACAAAACACACTGTTTCAATGGCGACACAAAACGCTGTTTCAACATTATTCCAACATTTATGCATAACGCTGATTCAGTAAGAAAACACCTTTCTCAGCAATGTCACTACACGCTGCTACAGAAGCACCCCACCATTTCTCAGCAATAACACCACGCTGTTTCAACCTCGACACAACACGCTGTTTCAGCCTCGACACATGCAACAACACGCCACAGCTGCGGCCCGATATCATCCCTGCACTCGAGTTCAATAGCCCTTCTCTCCAGCCGTCGAGCGCTGTTGTCTGCCTCCCCCCGCAACCAATGAATCTCACACAGTTTTTCCCAGAGTAAAAAGACCGTGAAAAGACCACTTCAAAGCCAGCACGCAGCGTTGTGCGCTTTTCAAGACACTAAAAGGAAATTTCCGTGAGCCTTATTTATGGTGCTCGACAAAATAAATAAACTCTGTCAATAGATGGCTTCAAAGCCTCGATAGGAACCTTTCACATGAACGTTTGGGCAATACGTGGGAATTACGTAGGCGGTTATTCATAGACGGGACTGACAATAGAATAATGGTTTTGTGTTAAACGCGGTTAAGCTGCATCCATTCGTGGTGAAATAAATTTGAACTTGAACAAGAAAAAAAGTAGATGTTTGTTTGGTAAGATGACAAAAGAATAAATTGATTGTCGAGCATACGAAAAAAATTGTCGGTGTACATGATCTTTCAACGTCTATAACATCCATAATGGAGTAAATAGTCTATTTTCGATCAATTTGTTACACGAATCCTCGCTATTTTTCCCATTTTCTGTAGCTGGCCTCCTAAGTCGGTAATTTAGGTACCTATAAAAATAGCTCTGGACCCTATAGTGTTTCTTAAGTTACCCGCTCAGCTCTGCCAACTAAATTCCAGGATCTTCAGTTATGTGAAGTAATGGCCTCATGCTATCTTTTGCTGTGAACATAATTTTATTTCGTATTGTATTTTCCCACAATGCTTAAATTTACAACAAATGGAGAGTTCTAAACTATTTGTTTGTTTATTGGCATCATTAATGTTGTTGAAAAATCTTATCACTATTGTTTATTGGTTAGGAAATTCACCCGCTCTCTGCATCACTTATTCTTATCCATGGCTAAATTTCGCTCTAATTCTATATAAAATAATAAGTGTATAGATATCAAAAATTTATCTAATTTTGAATTGAAATGCATGTCATGAAACGAATTTGTTTAAAAGAATACTGTTTGAACTACTTGTACGAAAAATACTTCAGCACGTCTTTTTATTTATAAACCTTGCGCGGGCAACCGTAGAAATAGGCAGGAATTAAAATTTCTGTCTGCAAAAAGAAAGTACAAAAATTTGAAAATATTGTTCTATGTATTTTTCACAATTTTCTACACTGAAATAGTAAATCGCTGGTGAATTCTTTTCAAATACTGCCACTTCGAAAAAGAAGCCTGTATTATTTAATCAGAAAAAAGTTCAGGGATCCTTTCTAGTTTCAATTGCATTAAATTACTGTGAATTCCGCCTCTTTCAGAAAAATTAATTGTGTAAGCAACAACTTTTATTTACATTTTCAAATTTTAATTCTTGGCGATGTTAGGAGGCGATGACTTCGCGTTTTCGTCGACGTGAAAATGCGCTCTCTGCCACTCACTGCAGTGAGTACTGAGTTATATTTTTTTATAAATGTAGGTTCAGCAATTAAGTGCTTGCACTAACCTTCATGTTGTAGCCCTCAGGACTGAGCCATTCGAAGAGGAAGATGGTCAGGGCTGCTACTTGGATGGCCACGAACGCCACCAACATCCACGATGCCATGTCAAACGGCTCTGTTGAAAAAATTAATCGTTTACAATCACCAACATTTACAATCACCAGCATTTACAATCACCAGCATCCATGATGCCATGTCAAACGGCTCTGTTGAATATAATCGCTACATTATAAGGAGCGCGAAGGAAGTTATTTTTAATACATGTTAACAATAAGTCCATAGAGATGTAATAATGCCAATTTGGACCAAAGATGTCACCATTGAAATAAACGAAATTGCATCGAATCGAATGAAACTTCGGCATATTTATTTGCATTATAATTATGATCGGTAAATGGTCCCATGTAAATGGTCCCATGTGGTCCCCAACAGATTAATCAACGTCAAGTTGATTAATGAGAACCACACTTAATATCTTGACCAGCTACGCGCGAAAATTTAGGCGTAGAAAAAATGGCTCCTCGGAGTGAGTTGTGAATAATGAACGTGAGTGAACGTTATTTTTCAGCTATATATGATTGGGCCAAATTCTCGATTACACGGAAGAAGCAATCAGACCAAATTAGTTGATTGCGCAGTGAAATAGCCACAATAATAATATGATAAGGATTTTAAGTTGATATTTCAGCCGAAGGAGAATAGGTGATCGCTAATTGAGTTCCAGCGAGCGCAGTGTTGGATATAAGAGAAGTTGCGACAGACAGAATGCCAAAAATAAATAATTACTGTATTGATTAAAGAAGATGACATTTTCCTCTTATAAGCTGTCTTCGAATGACTCGACCGGCCAAAAAGCTTTTTGTAATGTCACACACACCCAATTTTCAAAACATTTTCGTACCATTAGTGGTGTTCGAGGACAATAGAGATGCATTTAGTTTACTTCAGGATGACATCGTAAGGTAAAAATAGTAAAAATTTGGATCCACGCAAATGCACCAGGCATAATTAAGGTATGAAAACTTCTTAGTAAACTCTATGACAACTGGAATGATTTTCTAGAAAGCAGTAAAGCTAATTATGACCAAAACCCGTTTTTTTCCGAAAATCGAGGTTTTGTCAGTTTCTATACAGGTTTTTTTATCAGCCATAGCTCGTGTGCTCCACCTTAATATATGAAATGCGGGGTAAGAGTAATGTTAGGCATTTGGGTGACCTACACCAACAAAAATGTCTGCCTGCTTTATAAAAGAACTTGACAGGCTTTATTAAAATTTGTTTATGATTGAGTTTGTGGAGCGCATGATTTTCTAAATGCAAAATGAAGGTATTGGTGTTTAGAAAAAACCATATATTCATAATAAAACTGATTCTATTTTAAATAAAAAAATTAGCTGAACATAAGCTTACAAATTCTTCAGATGTATCCAAAAAGTTTCAAAATATAAGGAGATTGGACAATAGTCATTTAAGTGAAATCTTTTGATTAGGTGATTACCGCAGGTCTATTTTTTATATATACAGAAGTAAACATTTAAATATTCTGATACATTTTAAATGTTTCAAGAAGTCATTTTCCTTGAAGTCACACCGCCAGTCTGACATCTCGTAATTGTATATTACAGGAATTCGAAGTCATTATTGCTAATGAATATGTTTCTTGGTGAGGGGCTCGTCCGGAAATCTAGCTTATGCCAGATTTAATTTCAGCAACACTTAATATGCTCGATAAAAGTAAAGGATCTTCAAGCGAGCGGAATTTTGGTTCCTTATTACGAAAGGAATCACGTACATTTGCGCCCGATGAATTGAGCGTCTGGGAGCCCAGGAAATTAAAGCTAAAAGTGTCGAGCTAAAATTCGGGCTGTCCAACTACGAAATAATTTTTACGTAGTGCCACTCTTTTCACCTTAATTTAAAAATGGTGGAAGTCGTCATGAAAATTTAGCGCAATATTTGCCGCTCGGAGCCGGAGAAATCGCGTCTTTGTGGCGGTAGGTTGGGCGCGTGAAACGCGGCCTGGGACGTGTGACCACAGATAAAATAAAATCCAATTTAGGAACTGAGCCGAATCGTGTCAAAAAATTGTAAGTAAATTCAATTACTTATCTATTCGACACATAATGGTTTGTCAAAGTCAAGATGGAGAGATCGCGATAAAAAAATTGTAATAACGAATATATAGAAATAATGAATCAATTGAACATGTCGTGCGGCCATTGATCTAAGGCGAATCACACATACATGTAAATTTCGCTGAATTTTTTTTAAGGAAATAAGGCATTAATTCACTCACTATACGCGTTCCTCAAAATTTTCATTTGATTTAGAGCATAGGAAACTTTTTTACCGCGTGTCCACTCTTTAATATAGCAGCACTGTGTACGAATATGTGTATCATTCGATACAAATGAGGTCAACAATCAGTCCGCGCGCATCATAAATTACTTCATGTTATGCTTCTCGTACGAGAATAATTCAAATCAAACCACACTCAATCGTCGTTTTTTTCACTGTTTTGCTTACATATACGTATAACATTCAATTTAAAGTTGAAGTATAGTACTATTTTCCATTCCCGAGCGTTGACTTTCATCATCAGAGAGCCGATAGGGTTCACTGCTTATTATGAGTGCACTGCTAATTAATCTACATGTGGAACTGCCAGGGATCATGAAAAAAAAAACAAGTTTTTAGACGTGGTCACCCACCGAGGAAGGCCGTGGGCGAGATGATGCCGGTGCGCTTGGCGACCACGATGGAGATCCCAGACTCGAGGAAAGGAACCGTAAAGTCCACGACGCTCTCGCGGTCCGAGTTGATCTTGAAGGAGCTCAGCGCCATGTCTGCCTTGTGGTTCAGCAGCGCCGCGACCAAGCCGTTCCACTTTGCACCCTGACGCAAAAAATAAGTCATAAGTAAAATTTTTTTAAAACATTAAAACTCGCCAGCGGATGAAACATCTAACGTAGACACACCAACAATAATAGTTACTTCAGAATGAGAGTTGCGTGTGATTAGTATTCTGCTACGTCGTATTTGAGGCTTTAATTAACTTCAAACGTCGGCCAATGACTGACTACGCTCATTAATGTGAGAAACAATCGCATTGATGGAGATTACATTCAGGGTTCAAATTTAGTTGGGCTTCAAGAAGTAATCCTATTCTAGCTTTGTTAATGAACAAATTAGTCCGATATTCTCTAGGAATAGGACAAGCAAACTTAATTTATAAAAATTTTCTTCTAATTCGATGAGTTTTGAATCGATGTCATCATTCAAAAATATTCATGCCACGCCAGTTGTTTTCGACTAACATTAACTTTTCAATGACTTTCAACCAGAATTGGTTCGAAGCAAAAGGTTCTAATATTATACATACTAACCAAAAGCATAAATCTATTTGACATTTTTACCCACAGAATCATAATGAAAAAGAACAGACTTTCCTGCAATGCCCTAATTTTCAAGCAGTTAACCGCGATTCTTCAAACGATGGTAAACGGAAAGTTTCTGATTTGTTTTGAATGAGCCGAAAATTGCAGGAGGGAAGAAACAGCTTCGCAGATGTGGCAGAAACTATACGACCCTCCCGAAGAGAAAGAATTTTACTCACGTCCCCGAGGACGTTCTTAGGAAGATCATTTGTCAGCGCAAATGAGCCGTCAAAGTTGCTTTACGTGACCGGCTAAAGTTGTGTGGATTCTTAAAAACCTCCTTTCTAGTCGAAACTCTTTATTTACTTAGTTTAGGTTTTCTGAACTTTGTAATCGCTAATCCAATTTTGGGCTAGAAGAAAAAGCTAGGAACCTAGCATGATGCGTAACCGTAGCTCATGGTCAGTATTATAGAAATTTAGTAAGTAAATTGATGACGGAGAGGCTCAGCGCTGACTTCTAGGCTTGGAAAACAACTGAATAAAAATCAGATTGAGATGATTAATTAGAGCAACGCCCGCAATAACAAGTGACTTAGAATTTTCAGATTAATTCATCTTCAAATGAGAAATGTCTCAGGCAAAATGATGTTAGGTGCTTAAATTTTGATTTCCAATAGAGGAGAATTTCTTTCGTAATTAAAACAAATTTGGGCTTGTTACGCCTCAATACCATCATCATAAATTAATAATGCAATGATTTATTTTATTCCAAACTATAGTAGGTACAGCACACATTCGTAATGAATTGATGTCGTCGTAAACGGTTTATACTGAGATAATATGAATTGTAATAAAGATTGGAGATATTATTAGTCTTATTTCAATCCTTTTAATTCTGAAATGACATAGCGTTACTGCGGTAGCTTGGGTGACATATCTGGTAATGTTTAAATAATATCTTCTCTTGCTAATTTTTTCATTTCATATTGTATCCCAAAAATTGTAAGTATATTTTTAATCTCAATGCTACGGCTACGTGGAATAATTTTTGAGGTAAATTTCAAAAGTTACATGAGGGAAATTTCAGTGTCCGTGAAAAATAACTGATACATTTATAAAATTTCGTTTCGCTTTAGTGCAAATAACTTTGTTGTTTGTTATTTGACTCTAACTCTAACTCCCATCTAATTTGTTTTAGACTCTAACGCAGACTCTCTTCTTGACTCCAGATAAGTCTTGCATCATGATTGGTCAGAATCATCGACTATATTTCCAATTTTGCAGCAAAATTACCGGTACTCATTCAGCCATTTGAGTGTCCATGATTTAGGTGGTCACTCAAATGTTGTTGCTTCTAATTCATTACGTCTACAGTATTACTGAAATAATTTGTTTTAACAACATGCATTGCAATTGAAAAAAATCGTGCCTGAAAATCTTGCCTACTTGATGATTTTCCCTTAATCCATTGCTTGAGGCGGACAAGTAATTAACCAATTGTAATAAAGAACTAATGCGTCGCGTCAAGTAGCAAGCTGTAATGTGGTCCAGCTCAGACGTGTGTCGTAAGTCGCTATGTAATAGCCAGTGCGAATGGGTCTGACCCTTGCTGTTCTATAATGTATGTGCAACGTTTCTTACCTTTACAAATCTCAGTTCTTCGCTATTAAATATTTCTTTTGTTACTGTTATGTTCTATTGTTCCGTGTTCCGTTTATAAGTATTTTGCATTAGTTGTTATTCTTCCAGGTAACTGGACATTAGTTGAGTTAAGCTTGGATTTTATTTGATTCTTGATCTCTCAACAACTACAAATAGATCCCTCAACACCTTCAAGTAGATCCCTCAACACCAACAAATACCTAAAGGAACATTAGTAGACTAGATACAATGAATGATAATTAGGATCTTACCTCGATGGTGCCCCACTTCTTGTCCTCTACTTGCACCAGGTCGTATGTGAAGCCAAGGTCTACAGAGAACTTCTTTAGCAAGTCAATGCAAAAGCCTGAGCAGCACATGTAGTGCGCCGTCTCATTGTTGGTCGTCGTCGTGTTGATTGCTCTGAAATAGCGAAGAAATAACGCTTAATTATGAGTAGATACTACGTTTCAGATACTCATGCTAGCGAAAAAAATTACGTTTAATTATGAGTACGGAGTTTTTTAATTTCGGATACTCCTGTTGTCAACGATATAATACAGGGTGTTTCAGAATTAAGTAACCCTTTTAATTTGTTAATAAATAAAAAACTAAGAACGTTATGAAGTTGAAACTTGTTTTATTTAAAAGAAGAACATCTTCATGGTAATATTGCATCATAGTTACGTCATTATCCTGTATAGCTTGCTAAATTTGTGTTTAATTATCAAGCCTTAAATTTTCATCATGATTCGCTACAGCAAAGAAGAAAGAACAAAAATTATCGCTACAGTCAATAACGATGTCAATCACAGAAGTTCAACGTGATTACAGGATCCATTTCAAAACAAGGATTTCTTTTAAATAAAACAAGTTTCAACTTCATAACGTTCTTAGTTTTTTATTTATTAACAAATTAAAAGGGTTACTTAATTCTGAAACACCCTGTACCATGTATCTATTCAACAAAATACGGAATAAATTTTTGAAACACTATCGCACCAATTAGTAGCAACTTTCTAAGTTGTCATTAAAAATGTAAAAACCTTAATATAAAAGAAGCATGACATAAATGATCTGGGGTAATATCACATTCTGTCGAGAGCAGTGTAGAATACGAATACTTGTACACTGTATTTACAAACAGTAACCACAGCGAACTTCATTTCAAATTGCAGATCCTGTAAATAGATTCTGATTCTTGTGTTGCGTCACTATTATGGCTTCAAAGCCACACAATCTAGATGAAATGGTTGCTCCAATCCCGGCAGTTATCCATCATAATGATTTGGATTTTGCCTACTAGGTAATTGAGAACAATCAGAGAAGAGTCCGGTAAGCATAGTTTGTGTGATAAGAACCGATGATCATCTTACATGATCGTATCAACAAACACAACATTGATAGTTTGAAACTGAGAGACCTTCCTCGACAGGAATCGTCTCACAAAGTGACGGAATAATGAGGGGACAAGTCTGGCATGAGGGGACAAGTCTGGCATGAGGGGACAAGTCTGGCATGAGGGTACAAGTCTGGCATGAGGGTACAAGTCTGGCATGAGGGGACAAGTCTGGCATGAGGGGACAAGTCTGGCATGAGGGTACAAGTCTGGCATGAGTGTACAAGTCTGGCATGAGGGGACAAGTCTGGCATGAGGGGGCAAGTCTGGCATGAGGGCACAAGTTTGCATGAAGGCAGTATTGCTCTCCAAGAGTCATCTTCAAATATTTACACAAAGCTTGACTGCGTTGATTTAATTATTCAATTCATTGATCTGGTTGTGCGTCACTGTCTTATCATTTACTACTCAGATTTTTCTGTAATATTGTATCATCGAAAATAATAACGAGTTAAAAATATTATGCCCTCTATTTGTTTAAAGGTTGAACTATTTCAGGCCATATTGATATACATTACAATAAAAGATAAGTATTAATTCGTTGAGGAGGCATTACTAATTGAACTCGTTGAAGAAATAAATAAATTGTTTTGATATAAGTATCCTTTACTGATTTGTAAATGGTAAATACGGTCCAACTAATCCCAATATAATTCTTAATTAGAATCACAGCTTGAAATACTATCGTATTGACCGAATAAACAACATGCATAAATTTATTATTCCAAGCAGAAGTCCATAAAATCTCATTCAAACATTTGTTTTCACCTTGCTGCATCATTCTACGTTTGGAAAAAGCCCATAACCGGTAATTAACAAAATAGAGCCTTGTGAATCGATCAAAAATGCACGATCTTTTTAGCCATGTTTTCGTTAATAATTTAACATAAAATACCGCCGGAATCAAATTTCATCATGATAAAACTACACGTTTTCAAGAGATCTATTTATCGATGTGAAGACGAGAGGAATCCGTTTGAATGAATTCGAGCAAATTCTGTTACTCAATTCCTCCGACTGCAATAACCGACACGGAAATATCATCCGGCACTTCAAAGACGGCTGAGATCAAATGACGCTGCCTGCCATTGTGGTCTGACCGGCGGCTGTAAAAAAAATCAATGTTAGAGGCTAGCAAAAATATCTAAAAATGTCTGGCCACAAAACACACGTAAAGGAAATATTCGTTCGAAAAGAATATAAAATGGATGTTACAGAATGCAACGAGTGTAAAAACTGTTGAGAAACTAAGATAGCATGATTTTACAACTAAGTTACTGCAGAAGTTACACTTTATAGAAGTTTAATGCGAATGATTTGCACGGAATTTGTCTCGCTGAAGTTCATCTCTCAGAATGGAGATGAGATCCTACGAAATGACGTCAAACTCAGCAATGTTGATGAGTTCTCGTATTGCTCAGATATCACTTTTGAAGTCGATATCTTTATCCGCAGCACTACCGTCGCCGTATTCATGTTCGACCGCAGCCATGATAACAAAAGAGATAAAAATAAAGCACGTCCATCTTTGAAGTAGGAGTGTTACGTTGCAAATCTGACGGGCGACTTGACCACACTAGTTCTGGTCGAGATTTCATGAGCAAAGATTCTATTCATTGAATTAATAGTTATGAGAGACTTTAACCGTTAAATTACTAGTATTTACTTTTATTGACTACTGAAGCCTTATTTAGGCCGTTCAAGCGAAGTTTATTGACGCAAGCAAATGAAAATAACAGAATATTGGCGGGCAGAAAAGTTTTCGATGTTATTTAGCTCCTAAAAAATATTATGTAAGAATTTTAGGTCATGAAAAGATTCATGTTTAATTTATTATTTGCAGCTTTACAAGAACACCCTATATAAGCATGAAAAGTAATTAACGATGAATGCAACAAAATAATTTGCAAGAGTCGCAGCAGCGCCCACCATCTATGTCTTTCAATGAAACATTATTATTAAAACTGAAAATTCTCCACATTATACGAAATTTGCTCGCCGACATTCAAAAATTATCGCAGGACTATTCTCTTTAGCAAGTTATGACATGCACTAATATATAAATAATTTTAAAGAATAATATTCTTGAGATCTCCCGTTCCCACGACCATAATTAGTTGCCGTAGCTGCATTTTTTTCTGCACGGTCTATTATTATAATCACTACGCGATGTGAAACCCGATTCATTATTCAAAAGCCGAGCGCATATTAAGTACTAATGAGCAACAGCTCCGCTGGTCACAAACTAATACTTCAGTTTACCCAAAAAATACCCATTAAGGATTAAGTTCGAGCTGAGAGCTACGAGCAGCAAACTTTCTTGATTATTCACCAGCGCAAACACCGCAGCAACGCTGCTGGAAATACATTTCATAACTGAGAGGGAGAGAGCAAATGCAAGGAATGCAGTCTAGAGGTACTTGAAATGTTTTCATAATTGAAATTTTTAATAGGAAGCTCATCTCAGCTGGAAAATTCGAAGTTCTCAATAAGTTCAATCTAACCAGAGTAATATAAATAATATCGTATTGTAATAAGGGTATTATGCTAATATGGAGTAAAAAATTTGTAACCTAAATTTGCGCTTCAAACTACGTAGAGATAAACTTTTTAAACAATGTAAAATTAAGATAAGATAATTTGGAAAGAGGCAAGTAAATTAGGTAGGAGTAGAATGTAGGAGGCTTTTACATGCGCGGCTTGGAAAAATTCAGGTTGAGATACTGAAATATTAGAAGTAAAGACCGCAGACTTAATCCCAACGAAGTCCATTCCCTGGGTATACCTTCAATGGAATAGAAATAGGACCACTTTACTTGAACGACTTTCACTCAGTAACTATCTCCTCTTATTCAATAAACCTACTGTAATATCATAGGTTGTTTGTGGAGCTCAGTAGGTGTCAATGAATATGATGCTGCCATCGATATATATTAAAAGTACTCACTGTGAATTATTTTCTAACATAGAATTAATGAAAGTATCGTAATAAAATGAATAATATCTACTGAATTTAGCTACAGTTCCAACAAACATGAATATATATCACGACGTATATAACGAATTTATTGAATATTAATTAAAAGAAACTTATTATTTTCTTGTGCAGTTTGTTCGGTACAAATATCGGGATATAAAAGTAGCTAAGTGCACAGATTTCTTCTACATGGGCACAATACAAAATTTGAATGAAAAGAATTATAACAACTGCCTGAGGTCTAATTCAGGAACTGAATCATATTGATTTATCAGCTCACAATCAAAATATTTTCACAACGAGTGCTGCAATGAAAGTTTATTTATTCATAACACTTAAATAAACAACCATAAGGATTTCAGAAACAATAAAACATATTTTTGGCCACCGTTCAATTTCTTGAATGATAAGCTTAAATGCAGGGAAATGGAAACAAATTCACCATCATTTTATTCTATAGAGCAATTGTTTGCTCATTGTCCCGCACGAAAAATCTTTACGATCGATTTTCGATGATCGAAGTCTCATTGAAAACCATCCAGAGTCTCGGGAAAGGATATTCTGGTAATTACCGAGACTTACAATTGGATCCGCAAAGCTTCACTGATCCAACACGTGAGATTTGGACGGAAGAATGGATAGAAACAATCCATTATTCGTAGCAGACTATTCCGAACGATCAACTTAGGTGCGATTGCTGGAATTCACATATGATCATAATGGGATGCGGGTATTTTCGTCGTTGCTATCTAATTACTTACTTATTAACTTTATTGGGACTGTATCATTCAGTGTCTCCCTCACACTGCATCACTCAGTATCTCCCTCACACTTCATCACTCAGTATCTCCCTCACACTGCATCACTCAGTATCTCCCTCACACTGCATCACTCAGTATCTCCCTCACACTGCATCACTCAGCATCTCCCTTACACTGCAACCATTATAATTTTACTTTTTTCATTATTCTACTGATTAATTAATTCATTTAGAACACGTGACGCCAAAGATATCCGCACCTCGAATATCCGTTTTAATTCAAATTT